AGTGATGCTTTATATACTGTGCATCATCTTTCCCGCAGTGAAGAAAAGCAGACATGGCGACATGGCAGAATCGCTTGCAATTCTTGAACTACAAACAAGTTTTATTTTTTTTGCAGCTTCATCTGCAACTTTAATGTATTTTGGTCTTCTGAGGATCATTCCTGAAAAAGGTTATCAGAAATCTGAGGTAAATTATGATTCACTGTGAATTTAACATGCTAAGATACCTGACGCTAAAAATTACATCCCTGTGTACCCTGTTTCTCACAGTCATCTTTGACTACATCAAAAGAAACATCTGTCTTCCATTGTACATTTACCATGGAGATGGTAAGGGAGAAGTCAGTCTTGAAATAAAATTTGAAGTGTTCTGAAAGAGGGAGAACACTGCAGTAAGGGAAGAATTACTTTCTATGCCTTTGCCCTCCACTTATCTTTAAAGGGCTATCAGGGAAACCAGCACATTTTTAGGATTCCTTCTCCAGCTTGGCCAGAAGACCCTCACTGGGCACACCAAGCGTCTCTCCTTCACCCCACGTGCTACGTTGTATGTTTGAACGAGTGACAGCAACGTCGCGATGGCTCCCAGCACGCTCAGCCCACAAAGAGCAGCTCTGGAGTCCTCCGAAAACCAACCTCGTGCATTTGCGCTATCCTGCCCGTATAGAAGAGGATTCGCTCCGTTAACGTCGTCTTCCCCGAGTCGATGTGGGCCGAGATGCCGATGTTCCGTATCCTCTCATTGGGAAGGACTCCTGAAGAACAGTGCCTGCAGGAGGTCAGGGGAAACTGAAAGGCAGGAGGAGATGGTCGTTTTAGCGGGGAGCAGATCAAACACAGCGCGCTGTGCCGACAAACACGCTTCCACTCAGACTGCTGTTCTATGGCTTCCGCTCAATCTATGGCGAATGGGTCGTTTAAAGCAAAAAGGCCCTCCCGAGCTCCCGCAGGGTCACCTCAGACCTCTGCACCACGCTGGAAGAAACCAGGCGGCCCCTCCACACCACGTCCCCATCCCGCCGTACGTTCCCGGTCTTCCCTCTTTTCCCTCCGGTTCACTCGACAGAGTGCCCGCCCGTTTTCCTGAGGTACCTTCGGACGGGTCTGTCGTCCCGCCCCCCCGCCCGGCTTCACCTCCCTCCCGCCGCCGGGGGGACCGGGTGGGCCGAGGAACCCGACATCTTGTGTCCGGGCGCCCCCACGG